GTGTTTTTCTCTCAAGATTTGGAATATATCAATACAGTGCTTTAATGGTTTCAGTAGACAAATCTGAACTGTACCTAAGTGGTTGATCCTTATATATGGTTGTTCTTTTTCTGGTGTTGCTCTCAGGATTGTTTCCTTTATTTGCTAATCAGAAAACTTGATTATAATGTGTCATGTTGATTTTCTTTTGGGATCATATCTGTCTGGAATTCTCTGGCCTTCTTGAATAGTTATTTTATACTGTGCATTGTTATGAATTGTATATTCCTCACATTATAGAAATCCCCAATACTTCATCAGTTATTTTCTTTGTAGTTAATATTTTTTCTTTCTGTTTTGGGGTATTTATCAAACGAATATTGTTATTTTTGATAGTGTCCTGTAGAGTTCTTCTGCCCTTTTTCAGTTTTGGGGGGTGTTTTTGTAGCTCCATCTTCTTGTATTTTGGTCTTGAGAAATTCGTCTCCGAGATCACGGATTCTTGATTCTGTTGCTTCAGTCATTATATTTTGTTCTTTCAACACGTTATCTAGTTCTAATATTTTGTTGTTTACCTTTTGAATTTCTATTTGAAGTTTTTTCCCCCCTGGCTTATTATTTTTTTTTAGCAGAATGTTTTCTTTTTTATAGTATTCTTGAGTTATTGTTTAGCCTCTTCTGTTCTTCTATATTTTAATCAAATTTCCCCACTGGTTGCTTAAAATAGCTGGAAATCATCATTCTAATCTCCCTCCTGGAAGGATCCAAGGCCCTCTCTTTCTCTAGGAGCTCATCCACATATGGTTCATCTGTCTGTGCTCCAGTTAATTGGATTGTTTTCGCCTGTTTCCTCAAGCGTGTCCAGATTGACCGCTCTTTTTGAGACAAGATGTTATTTTCAAAAATATGTGTCTCTGGGTACAAAGCAATCCTCATGCCCTTGCTGTGGAAGCCAGATTGGCAAGGGTAGGCAGGAGTTTGGCACTAGCCTACCCCCAGCAGGAGCCAGAGGCAGAAGATCATTCAATATTGTGCCTGCCAAAATCTCCGTTTAGAGGTTGGCTCCCAGGCCACCAGGGCGTGCTAGGCAATGAGATAAGACCCAGGTGATGGGGGTGAGCAGAGACTATGTGCAGCACGGCCCGCCGGAGCAATCTCCGCAGGCTCTCCATGCCATAATCGAGCCCACTTTGGATTTGGGTGTAGGTCTGTGGCAGGCAGATGCTAGTTTTTGGGATCCCGGGCCTGTGGAGAAACGCTCACTCTCTGCCGTGCGGATTCTCAACCCTCACGCATGCCACCCTAGCTTTGTACCAACTCTGGGTTCATTAGTCCTCCGGGTGCTCTGGGGAAGCCCTGCCACCGTCCAATTTCCGGGAGTTCCAGCCAAGTGCCGGGTCTCAGTCCACAGCAGACCAAAATCTTCCCTGCCCAGCTGGTGTGCAGTGATTGGTGAATCCTCTTGCCCATGATCGGACTCAATCCTTACCCAGCAGTGCGAGTTATCAGTAGGCTAGAAAGAGGGCCAGTCAGCTGACTGCTAAAGTCTAAAAGCCAGGATGGGAGGTGAGTTGACATGTGTCCTGGCAGGCAGCACCGAATCTGCTGGGTTTTTTGGGTAGAATTCCTGGTGTCAGCTCCTCCCTCTGAAGCACTGGAGTGTTGTTAGCAAAGGTTCATCCCTTAGGGGAGATTTGGCGCTCAGGAGGCTGAAAGCTAACCTTTGTTTTCAGAGTTCTTCTGGAGAGGGATGAACACAGCCTCTCCCTACACAGCCATGTCAGATTACTGGGACTCAGAACATCGAAATATTCCTTGAATCGGAGGAACAAAAGGTGGTCATAAGGGAAAAGTTCAGGTCTATAGGTTGGATGAGGTAAGGTTTCCATCAAAATTCACACAGGAAACAGCTACTCTTGAAAAATGATAGCATTGTGCTGGGAAAAATCCCTTGGTGTAACTTTCCTTGCCTCCATTTCACCAATGCAGTTTTCAATTAAAAAAACAAACAAAACTTCTTTATGATAAACCTCTCTGATTGTCTTATATCTTTTGAGAAAATTTATACCCCTTCAAAATCCCTGAAACCAGACACCACCTTCTTCTTCTTCTTTGACGTTGCATCCTTTACGGCAGCTTAACGTGTCTGCCAAGTGAAGGTAGAAATAAGTCTTAAAACAGCAAACTCTGTTTCTGTTAACCAAGCACCCCCACCCTCTAGCTCACAGCCACCATGTCACCTCCTCAGCCTCACAGTTGGGGGTCAAATCCCCCGCCCCCCAACGGCCTGAAGCCCTTAAGCACTGTCACTGTGGGCTCCCAGGGCACGTCTACTTTGAGAGACATTTTAAGGGAAGACAGCAGGGGAGCCCACTCCCTTGGGTAAATCCTGCAGTGAAGCTGACAAGGGGACCCACCTGCACTCCACGCACCAGGACCCATCCAGGTTACCTGCACAGCCGCACAGCCCCAGGGCACCCTGACTGCCGCAGGTCTGTAGCGTTGTGCCAAGAACTACACCTGCAGGGGGCACCTAAGAGGCTCTAGCCTCAGCTCGGGCACCACCACCTTCTGAGTTGACCTGGCTGCCTTGGATTTAACAGGCCCAGAAGATCCTCTGGAAGACCCTGTTTTTAGTCTTTGTCTGGGTTCTCTAGAGAAACAAAATCAATGAAGTTTCTATATTTATCTCTATATCTATCTATCTAGTGGAAGATATTTTTGACCAAAGAAATGGTCCATGGGTCAGATGCCAGCCTGGAGGCTCCTCTGAAGTAGTGCATCTTTAGGGGCTAATGAACCCAAAGTCCACGAATCAGCTGACAGATTTCCGGTGAATGAATCCAAGGGCAACAGTTAAGATGCCAGGCTGAGGATGGTGACCAGGATTAGCAGGCAATATGGCAAGCCATTGGCTCAACTTTGAAGAACTAGAGGTCAGATTATGAGCCACATGCAGGATCTATACCCAGCTAAAAGCAAGCACGTTTTTTACTTACGTTGGAAGCAGGCCACTAATTTTCAATGATGGACTGCTCATAGTAAATCTCATTATGGAGGTCATTACATTACATTATGGTGCTCGTGGAAAATATTGAAAGCTCCACGGACTGCCAAAAGAATAAGCAAATCTGTCTGGAAGAAGCACTGGCAGAATGCTCTGTGGGTGTGAGGATGACGAGTCTTCGTCTCGAGTACTGTGTACACGTTATCAGAAGAGATCCGTGGTGGGGACAGGACATGATGCTGGTAAAGTAGAGTGGCAGTGCAAAGAGGAAGACTTTTGTTTGACAAGATGGGTTGACACAGTGGCTGCAACAATGGTGTGAATGGCATGGGACTGGGCAGTGTTTTATTTTGTTGTACATAGCGACGCTGTGAGTTGGGACCAACTTGATAGCACCTACCAATTAACTGAAACTTTCTGCCCCTTAAGCAGTGAACCCCTCTTCTCCCCTCCCACTTCTAGTAATAAACTTAGATTTCTATGCACTTGCCTCTTCTAGGTCGTTCATATAAGGGACTCAAATAATATTTGGTCTGTTGTGACGAAATTTACTCATCATATAGTTTTCCAGTTTAGCCATGTGGTGAAATGCATCAGAATTATTGTTTGAGGACTGAATAATCGTTCATTGTATGCGCCACATTTTGATTCTCTGTTCAGTTGTTGGTGGACATTTCCACCTTTTGACTGTGGTGGAAAATGCTGCAGTAGACATGGAGGTACAAGTTTCTGTTTGAATTTCCTGCTGTAAAGTATCTAGGACTGGGATCGCTGGGTCATATGCTTAACTTTTTGAGAAGTCACATAACCCACTGACAGGTTTTCAACTTCTGCGTAATAAAATAAATTCTTCCCTGTAGGGATAATGTAGAAAATGCAGAAAAATAAGATGTCCTCAAGGGAGGGAGTTGCTCCCACATTTTAGCCCATTTTCTCTGCCGTCGCCTTGTTTTCTATCGTGTTGACTGTCGTATTTTAGTTGAATGTGTTCTTCATGTGGATGGAGCAGCGGTCACCCAGTTTTCAGGAGTCTCCTTACTTGAAGATTTCCAACGCCGTCTGACCTAGATAGCTCTGTGTAGTAAGCTCTTTACTGTGGAACCTTTAAAACCACACGAGCCACTTTTTGTAAGAGCTTCTGGGGAGCACAGTGCTCCCACCAACACATGACCCTGGCTGGTCCAGCCTGCTCAGGCCTCCTCCGTCCTCTTGCACAGCCACACACACAGAGTGTCATGCTCCTCATTTATCAGAGAAAGAGCTCTGGGCCACAGAAACTGCCCAAGGCCACACAGCATGGGAGTGTGGGTTGGTATTCAGCCAAACAGTCTAACCTCAGTGTCTACATTTACAAAAGGATTTATTTAGGTGCAGTTCAGACTCACTGGCTCAAGAGCATGTACTTGTAGTGTGACCAGCCCTTATCCTGGACCTCGCCTGGCCGCACCATGTGGAGCCGAGTGTCACAAACCTCATCGTGTATAGGTCTCCAGTCGTTTTCAGTGGGGTCAGCACCTAACCCTTGCACCTGTACACAGCTAAGCCATGGGGTGGCTTTCCTGGGGCAGTGGGAGGGTACAGCTCCTTCGTATGAATGGAGTGACTACTCCCGATAGCACCCTCTTCAGAGGAGGAATAAAGTATGACAGCCCACTCTGTCCTGCTTCTGGCCATGAAAGTGGGGATGTGACCCAAGTCGGGGATGCAGGGTGCCACATTCAGCTCTATAGAGAGGCCACCGTCAGTGGGGAGGGACCTTGGGAGCCATGGGGATGCCCACAGAGCTGCTTCTGAGACTGCTCATCTGAGATACCCGGCAGCTTCGACGTGAGCTGTCCACTGCCCAGTGGGAAGTGCAGCCTCCCAGTTGGCTCTTGGGCTTAGAGGCCTCTTGGACACTGGCCTAGTCCTGGGACTGAGTGAAGGGCTGGTGTCCGCTATGTCTCACCACCTACTTCCCAGGAGCCAGGCCGTGCTTGGCTGTTTGGTGAACTCCCCTCTGTTTGTATTCCAGGTCTGTGGCTGAGGCCACTGAGGTGAACTTGAACATGCGAGTAGGACTGCATACAGGCCGGGTACTCTGTGGGGTGCTGGGCCTGCGCAAGTGGCAGTATGATGTGTGGTCCAACGACGTCACCCTCGCCAATGTCATGGAAGCGGCTGGCCTGCCAGGGTAAGTTGGATGGAGTGGTAGGATTGCCAGGGGCTCTGTGCGTGCATTAGAGTCTTGGAGGTGAACTGCTATAGCTTGGTCATCAGTTGAAAACCACCAGCTGCTCCTCAGGAAAACGATGGGGCTTTCTACTCCTGTAACCAGTTGCAGTCTCAGCCACGCATGGGGAAAGATGGGGCTTTCTACTCCTGTAAAGAGTTACGGTCTTGGAAAATTACCAGGGCATCTCTAGTCTGTCTTATAGGATCACTATCCACTCGATGGCAGTAGGTGTTTTGGGTTTTTGTTTTCTGTTGCTTGGGCATGCATTATTCCGGGTCTTTTCCCCCTGATGGCTGCCCCCGCTGCCCTATAGCGTGGAGTCCACAGTGAAGATGGCCTCACCCGTCCTGCACCTGCTAGTGTGTACCCCAGAAGCCGATGGTCTGTGCCCGGACCCCAGTCCGTCTCGTCTCCCCTCAGCCTCAGCCGCTGTCCTTGGGATCCCACTCCGTTGAAGAGGTGGTGTGTGGAAGAGCTGGCAGTGCACCCGCTGCCGGAATTGGCCCCCAGCTCCTCTGCTTTCTTGTTTGCTTTCTCAGAAGTCCCTGTAGGTGGAAAGTGCTGAACTTTCAAGTTCCATGAGGCAATTTGAAGACAACTTTCGAGAACTTACAGAGACCCCTTATAGGCTTGTGCACTGGAAGTGCCTTTGAATTACAGTGGCCTTCTTTGGTTTTATTCAGGCCTTTCACACACCTTTACATAAGGTTGGCATAAGGCTCTGTACAGCAGTAACTCACGGAAGATACCTCTTCCTTTATATGTATATATCAATGGACAGAGGGGATAGTGCCAGTGCAAGAAAGAGGATTTGGGGGTTGACTGCTAGTCTGCATTTTGGTCCCCGTTCTCCTCCTATAAAAGGAAAGGGTAAAAGGTGCCTTGCGAGGTCTGCTTCTATAAAGCACCTATTCTGATACTTCCGGTATCGCTTGGCATTTCAGGCTCACGTCTCCACCCCTGAGCTGAGGCGCCTCTCAATAGCACAAGGCCGCTCTCTGCCTGTCTCTTAGCTCCAGGTGGGAGACCCTCTGGCATATGCATCTTCTCCTCTCCCTTCTGGACTCAGAGAAGGTGAATTGAACCAAAGAGCTCCTTTCTTTATGCTGAGCAAGGCCTTGGAGAAGTTGTCGACTTAAACATGGGCCCACATAACACAAAATTATATTCGCAAGATTCATGGCAGTAGCAAGTAGAGAAATGAGAAAAACAAAACCAAACAAAAATTGCAATGGGGGGAGGACTAAGCATCCTCCACCACCTGTGGCTAAGCTTGCTGAGCGGTGAGCAGTCCTAACACCCCTGGGCTTTCTAACGGAGCTTGCCCACAGACCTCTGTCATCTCTAACCAGACACCTACCCGTGGGCTCCAGACTTCCCTCACACCTCTGAATACCTGCCCTTGGACATCACTTCAAGCTTGTTCTTCCATCCTCTCGGTGGACCATCAGAGACCCAAAGCCTGACGTCAGAGCCACCTGATCTTGCTTGTCCTCTGACTCGCCTTTCCTCAGGCTCCCTCCCACTCTGTACCACTCTGCTTCCACGTCTCAGAAGGAGCTCCAGCCGCTCTTCCCGCCCAGCCTGCCCCCTCCAGTCGCCAGAATGGAGCCCCCTGCTTATTGACCTCAGGATAAAGTCTAGATTCTTAACCCCACTACTCCGTGCTAACCTCGAGAGAGGTGTGCATTCCGGCCTCAGTGGACCAGCAGGATTGTAGGACACAAAGTCCTCCCCTCTGGCTCCTCCTGTGACAGCCTTCTCCCCGTACAGCGTGACTGCAGTGCATCCTCATCAGACAGGGCAGAGCTGTCACACGTTCTTCTCCTCCCAACTGAGTGCCAGACCCCAGCACATATGATGGGCATGTAAGCAAAGGCCTCCCTCTGCTCCTCTCCTTACCGACTTCCCTTCCTTTCTCCCTTCCTCCCACCATGGCCTTCACATCCTGCAGACAGTGCCTCCAGCTGCAGCCAGACCTTTACAGGGCAGCATAGGACACCAGCGGTTCTCAACCTGGGGGTTGCGACCCCTTTGGGGGTCGAACGACCCTTTCAAGGGCTCGCCCAATTCATAACAGTAGCAAAATGACAGTGATGAAGTAGCGTCGAAAATAATTTTTACGGTGGGGGGATCACCACAACATGAGGAACTGTATTAAAGGGTCGCGGCATGAGGAAGGTTGAGAACCTCTGTACTATACAGACACTGGCACTAACTAGACAGGGCCCTGCCCGATGGAGTTGAAATCCTGGGCATAGGTGGACTACGGCCCCTGTGTAGAATCCCAAAGCAGGCCGAGAGTGTGATTAGGAATCGAGTGCTAGGAGCCCTGGCAACAGAAGGCGGTCAGAGATGGGAGTTCTGGAGGACACACGTGAAATAAGATGTGTGTCCTGACTTGTAGGACCTTGTTAAGGCAGAAGACCTCTCGGGTGCTGGGCAAGGGTCTTAACTAGGGAATCAGAAGTATATCATAGCATTTGAATTCGCAGGACTAGGTAAGAACCATGCAAGGAAGTTCATGGAAAGAAGGAGGAGGAGAAAGCGAAGGAGAAGGCCTGAGCCCCGAGTTCTGCCATTGGAAGGGTCAGGGATTAGGAAGAGCCTACCATGCCCCGAGAACCACTGCCCCGAGAACTCCTCTATGCCAGCTCCACACCAGCCATCTAATTGTTGAAGGGAGGAAGGACCAGGCGGACATATGGATGGATAGACAAATACATTTCTGGAGGTTTCTGGCACTGGAACATTTTCAAGCCACCTGGCTGTCCCCAGTGAGCTCTGGGCTAGTTGATGGGGCACTCTCTGGTCTCTTGAGCACTTGTGGCCATGGGGAGAGACGGACCAACTCTGGAGACGATCCAGAGTGAGTATCTTTCATGCCAGGGCCCGTAGAACAGTTACCAGATGGGGCTCTCAGCCTAGGATACACCAAGGGCTGCAGGACAGTTGCAGTACTGAGCAGGGCTAGAGGTAGGGGCCAGCTTTAATTCCCTTTGGGCCGATTGCAGGCATTCATCCTCAGGACCTGATGCAAAGCCTCTGAGCAGAGGAAGGTTTTGCTGATAGGACCGGCTTTCTCCTGGCCCTCCTCCCAAAGCCTGCGGCCCACCTCCTCTCTCAGCAGGGTCTCTCACCCACCCCTTCTCCAGGAGCCTCAGAGAACACTCATGAATCAAGGTTTATCCCTGCAAAGAATTCAGAAGACCATGCGTTCTTAGCAGAGGCTTAAAGCAGAGCTTTCAGGAGTGGGTTTGTAGGGGGGAGTCTGCTTGCTGTCTGAATGGCTGCATGCTCAGGCCTCTTTCCCTAGAAACTTTGTCTGTCTAACCCTAGCATTGTGGGAGACCATTTTCCTGTTTGCGTTTGGCATAAATGGGTCAATCCCGCTTCTGCTAACCCTGAGGGAATTCACCTTTCCCCAGAAATCCAGCTGGGCAGGATGCCCAAGATGGGAGCTGTGTGCTTCTGTGGGTTCTGAGGCAGATCTCAGGCCGTTTTCCCCTTCTTTACCTCACTTCCACGTTTTCCTTGCTCATTTTGCTTGGGTACCCTCGGATCTCTCTCTCTTTTTTTTTTTTAGTTTCTCCTCTACTCCCTTGCCATCCTGCCCTCTGCCATCCGACTTTTCTACCCTCCTATGCCAGCTTCACCTCTCATTCTGCTCTGTCTGCCTGTGCCTACCTCTTCCCAGGTGCCCCATGCCACGTGGTATACAGAGAATGGGAACTCCTGTTCCATAAGACATGCTTCTCGAGAGAAGGAGTCCCTGCCTATGGCCCTGCAGACCGCAGCCACCGGCCATCCCAGATGAGGGCTCAGAGCCCACAGAGGAGTCCCCCAGGCCCTTGATACTGGCACACGACACTTTTCCAAACCTCTGCCTCCCTTTTTCTAGGAAGGTCCATATCACAAAGACGACCCTCGAGTGCCTGAACGGGGACTACGAGGTAGAGCCGGGTTACGGACACGAGAGGAACAGCTTCTTGAAAACACATAACATCAAAACCTTTTTTATTGTGCCATCCCATCGACGAAAGGTAGGCTCCAGAACGCCTCTCTTATTTGGTGGCCCTCTTGAACCTGCCAGCCCTTACTCAGCCCTCTTTAAATGTCAACTGCTTGTGGTTCGTACGTCATCATTGCTTTTCAAGGTCATGGAATGCTTTACTTGGGGAAAGGGAGGGGAAGGGAAAGAGTCCAGAACTCCAAGTTATAACTGGGATCCTCCCTGGTTCAGCCTCTCGATGGATCATCTAGGCTGCTTTTGTACTGAAGTTCTATTCCCACATGCCCTTGGTGGGCAGCCTGCTGACGCAAAAGCACCACTTCACACAGCAGCCCGGATCTGCTGACCCCACACATGTGGATTGGGGAGACTTGGCTCATGGGACCCACTCTTCTGCTGCTTCCCAGGGATAGCCAAGGCCCAGAGGCCTTGATTTTCCTGCCAGTCTTGGCTCTTGGTGGTGTGTGAACAGACCTAGATTCGAGCCCCACCCTGTTTTTGAGGCTGCTAGTAGAGGACCTTAGAAATGAGGAAATGCTGAAGGAAGGGCATCTTTCAAGTTGTAACCTTTATCCGACTAGTACGAACCACCAAGACACTGACTGTATGGATGATTGATTCTCGTGGCATGTGAACAGTTGTGACAGATGCTCTTCATGAAGCCCTGGTAGTTACCACCGAGGGCGCCAGCACATCACCCATGCCATACCTGTCAGTGCCTGGATGGACAGGAAAACATGCCAGGGGACAGCCTGGCAGGGCACATGGAGGAAGATAGTCAAGCAGATAGACCATGGTGGCCGAGATCTAAGCGCTCAGTGCTGAGCATGGGCCAGGCCAGCAGGGGTGTGTGGGAAGGTCACTTGAGTCACAAGGGAATCTATGGACCTGGAGTCTGGCCTAACCTGGCCTGGGGCCAGGCGTTCTCTTTTCAAAAATAATACGTAGCTATGGCTCCTAGATTTACAGATAGGCCCCGGGGTCTCTAAGCAAGAGAGAATCATCATTGAGCCTGTAGAATTCAATGGATACTGAGGGCAGAATGACAGACTAGTAGTTTGTGAGTAAGCTTTTCTGAGAAGGACGCTTAGTGGCCTCATGCTTACAAAGAGATAATTATATGAGGTGGGGCGGGGCTTCAAAAAGTTCATGGGAAAACAAGATGATGTGATAATGAACTTTTCGAAGGTGCCCCCTTGTTTCAGAGTGCTCCTCCTTTTTGCTTTTCAAGCCATTCTGTCAGGCCCCCACCCGCTGTGCTCGGCTTCACAAGGCCTGGAAGCTCCCGTTGGGATAGAGCCTACTTGGCGGCAGAGAGGGCAGGGGCAAGGCTGTCAGGAGAGCGTGTAGCTGTGCTTCAGGCAGCGCCTCCACAGAACCACTCACGGAAAAGGATCATGTTGCCCCCCACCTTCTTGGCTTAATGTGACTCTTAGCAAGGGCAGAGGTGGGGAAGCTCTTTGTAGGTTGAAGAAATGCCGAGGACTGGGTTTGATCTACAGTCACCATCTGGGTTCCAGGCTGTGGTGAGTAAGAACAAGGAGGGCTCAGGCGGGTGGGGGTTGGCAGAGTCTGTCAGAGTAGACCCGGGACTCAGCTGCCACGGCGAATTCTGACATCCTAAAAACCTCACGGTGTGAGGTGGAGGCTTGCTCGGTTAGCAGAGCGCTGGAAGCTGGGCCAGCAACCTGAGGACCAGTATCCTGTCTCATGTGCCACTTGGTGCTGCCGTATCCGGGCAGTGTCTGGATGGAGGGCATCTCATCGCCCTGCCTAGGGTCTCGGCATGGCGAGAAGCAGAACGGAGCTCCACAGCCGGGACAGGACAGTGTTGGACCTAACTGTGGATCCCTTTCACCACGGCAGGCGGTGCTAGAACACCCACACACCACTTGTTAGAACAAGAACTGATTCCTTGTTTGGCTTCACACCAAAACACCAAAGCAGGTGTCCTTTCCATCAGATGATGCCGAAGGGGCAGCCAGGGGGACAACTTAGCACCAGTACTTACAAAGCAGCCAGATCATTAATGGTTGGTTCACTGAGTGTTGAATCAAAGTCAAGCTCCTTGGGGAGCAGACCTTCTTGGAAGGAATAGATGGGTGGTAGCTTTGGAGGCAGCGGGGGCAGGAGAAGCCACAGGATAAGCCTGCGTGCGGGTGGGTTTTGGGTGATTTAGTACAAGCTGGTGCACTTGGAATGCTGAGGGCCAGCTCTCCTGCTGGCCCACCTGAGAGATGCTCTCCTGCGTTGAAAACTGGACTTGGAACACATCTCACATTTTCAGTATTTGGGCATATGGGTACCACATGCCCATATCCATGGCAAAAAGGTCCAGGTGTCCATCGGAAGAATTCCATCTCCTCCCATTCTGGTTTCCTGCCTCGCTGCTTTCCCGGCTTAGTGCTGCTGGACACACCACAAGCAGGTGGCTCACACAACACAGATATTCTATCGCAGTTTAGGAGGCCAGAACTCAAGGTTTCCACTCCAGAGGACGACTTCCTCTGCTCTGTGGGCTCGGCGGCAAGGTCCTTGTCTCTTCCCAGCTCCTCCCTGGTGCTCAGCAGCCTGCACGTGCCACAGCCCTCCCCACTTTGTCCCAGATGGGATCCTAGCCGCATGGTTAGGGTTAGGCTTGAATATATGTTTGGGGGTTACACAGTTCTATCCATTCTATTTCCTCAGAGGCAACTGTTCTTTCTAGTAAAAAAAGAAAAAAATATATATATATTTGTTAAGTACAGAGCTGCACAGTAGAATGGTTGTTCACATTCAAGACCGAGTCCCTGAAAAATGTGCAAGACGTAGCTAGCTTTCCACGGGCTGGCAGGGACAGGTGACTGCTCTCCTTAAGGAAAGGGGATACAGAAAAAACCCTGAGTAGAATTTACTGTGAGTGTGCCTCGTTAGTGTGCCTATTGATGAGCATAGGCAAGGCATGTATGCTGTCATGTATGTACACGCATACATATACAAATACATGCCCCTACATACATGTATACGTACATGTCTCTCATATGGGTATGTGCACATATATGCTCAGAGAGGACTGCTCAGGTAACGGGGCCTAGGTATAAAGACATAAGGGAGGAGGAGAAATCACAGTGCTCCTTTATTTAAAAAGTATCACCCCCAACTTCCCAAATCAAATATATGCATATCTGTATATGTTTATATTCTAAAATAGTCTAGAAGGAAAGCTCTGAGGTAGGTTCTTCTGGTCTCTGGGCAGCTCTCCTTTCCCGTGACACCCTGTGCCTTCCGGGGCTGGTTAGCACAAACAGCCGGAAGGAGGGGTCTCTGGTGTCAGAGTAGCACTGAGGCACCCGGACCTTCGGGGACATGCAGGAGCCCCGTCCATAAAAGCCAGGTGAGATGTGGGTGGAGCTCCTGAGGACTGCCGGAAGACTGTGGTGGAGGGCAAGTGTGGGTGAGTCCAGGTCCCGATGGTTGAGAGAAGCCATGGAGGTGAGTTGATTCATCTTTGGGGGTTCACAGAGATGAAGTTTGGGGAGGGAAGAGAGAGAATGCTAGATGCTATTAGGGGCATTGTTTTGGCTATTTATCTTAAGAATTAGCATTCTCAAAGGCGGAGGTAGGAGTTGTGTGACTTCCAACTTGTCCCGTCTGTGGGCTAGGAAGATTATTAAGATAAGGTGACCAGATATCCCGCTTTTGGCGGGACAGTCCCGACTTTTAACAATTTTCCCCACATCCCACGGCGTTTTAAAAAAGTCCCGATTTTTGGAAAGAATGCACGACAAGCTAGGGTATACGGTTTTTGACTGCCATGTGGCTATTTCGCCAGGATATGAGTTTTATCAATGGTGTCCCGCTTTTGTCCCACTTTACCAATATTAAAATCTGATCACCTTATATTAAGAACTAAATAGACTTATTGGGGGCATGAAGTGGTATTACACTGACCCAAGTCCCATACTTCCCTCTGTTCAGCCCTAGGCTCCAGAGGCGTCCCTGTGGTGTTTAGTGGTGTGTGGTATAGTTTGGAAATGGACTGCTGAGAAATATCGGGTTGTCAGTTTGTATATACCTGTGTTTCTAGCATACCCAATTGTGCTTAGGTCTTAGATTTGGGATCCTGATGTCTGGATTCTCTGCGGACACCTGAAGGGCTGACTTCAGGCACTCTGGTCCCCTGCTAGCTGTGTGCCAATCACAAAATCCCCAGCAAAAGAGTCGGTGCATATTCTGCCTTTTAAAAATCATATTTCTCTTTGCTATCATATCTTGTTTGGACAGATATTTCCAGGACTGATTCTCTCCGATATAAAACCAGCCAAGAGGATGAAGTTCAAAACGGTCTGCTACCTGTTAGTGCAGCTCATGCACTGCCGGAAGATGTTCAAGGCCGAGATCCCCTTCTCCAACGTCATGACGTGTGAGGATGATGACAAGGTAGGAGAGCTCCGGCTGTATCCCCTTCCCACCTTCACTCCGGGCTCCCTCGACGCGTCTGCTTGGCCTCCTTGAAAGTCTGCAGAGCTGGTCTCTTCAGACTCTTCCAGGAAAAACCCTGTCGTTCAACATATGTGAAGTTGAGTCACATGTTTTACACACGCCTCGCAGTTCTGAAAGGCTATTCGGCAGAACACTGGCCCTGCTGGGTGCTCCGCAGCAGGAAGGCAGGCCGTGGCCTCTTGTCCCTGCATAGGTGACACTGCAGGCTCAGCAGGACATGGGGGAGGCCAGGGTGTGCTAAATCAATCTGTTCACTTTGTTTAACCTCACACCTCCTAAATTTATATGATTAATAAAACACCCTTTTCCCCAAAGCTTATGGAGCTAGAGCTCCTGGAACCAACACTCGGAAACTCTGGGCTCTGATTGCGAGGAAGGCCCTCAAGAAGATAGATGGACACAGTGGCTGCCACAAGGGGCTCAAACCCAAGAGCCACTGTGGGATCGTGTGGGCCCCAGCCGTGGTTCACTGTGTGGCACCGAGGGTAGGAAACGACTTGGTGGACCATAACAACAACAACAGAGTGTTGATTCCACTTTGTTCTGTCAGTAGTAAAGGCAGAAGGAAAATGATTGATCTTCACTTCCTCCAGATACCTCCCTGCATGCTGTAAGGTGTTCTTCACACTCTACTCAGCAGGGCTCAGTAGGCTCTCTCACTGCTCTCCTCAGATAGACTACTTCTCACCGGCCCTGGTGGCAGAGTGGTTAGGAGTTGGGTGTGATCCACAAGGTCAGCAGTTCAAAACCACGGGAGAACGATGTGTTTACTCCTGTAGAGCGTTGCAGTCTTGGAAACCCACGGGAGGCAGTTCTACCCTGTCCAGTAAGGTCGCTATGAGTCAGCATTGACTCCAGGGCAGTGAGTGAGACCACTTCTCAGATTAACAGGATTTTGAGGGTGCCCCCTCTCCCCGCTTCACTTTCCTGCACGTTTTCTGACTAAGGACCATCTCTGCCAAAGATCTGATTTCTCGGGAATCCTCCTAGGGGTGAGCCCCAGCACAGGGGAGCTTGCAGAGTGGGACCTGCAGGACCATGAGGCTGTGAGGGAGAGGGCAGGGGAAGGCAGGCGGCTGAGGCTGTGGCAGGGCTGAGGAAGGTGTCTCGGTGACCCAGCGCTATAACGCAGCTCCGACAAGTGGGTGACTCCACCCTACAGAAATTATTTTCTCAGTCTGGGGCTGGTTCCAGGGGGAACACTGTCTCTGGTCAGCTTACAGTTTAGGAGGAAGGTCCTTGTCTCTGTTCAGTATCTGTTGGCCTAGTGGTCTTTGGAGATTTACATGTGTTTTGCTATTGATGTTAACCTGGGTATTGATGGTTTCAGGCTCAAGGACCCTAGGTCCAAAGGATACTTTCTAAAATAAGATGATCGAGGCTGTACCCCAATGTCCCCTTTTGGAGGGAGTTGAATCCATCCCTTTTTGCCCCTTGGGCCACCTTTGTGAGGCCCAGCTAATCTTCTCTCTTGAGGACCAAGGAGGAGATGAATGGAAGGGGGCTAAATGGAAGGGGGCTGTGGGGTGGGTGGGACAGTGTAGGGAGTCAGGGACCCTGCCTCGTTGGGGTTTCCTTTTATCACCACCTGCCTCCAGCATGGGACTGCCTGGGCAGTTAGTGAAGACAATTCCAACGTGGGAATAAAAGGGGCCCTTGTGGGAAGTTTTGACCATGTGAGTAGCATTTGGATAATATACAGACTGGGACCTAGCAGGGAGCAGGCCCCAGTGCATGTGGCTTCCCTGGTGCTGCGGTACCGTGGACCATCAGCCACACAGGCTCGTCCTCCCTTTATGGCCTCACCCGAGCCTGGGGGTGACTTTACTGTGAACACTTTCTTAGCACATCTATCTCCCCTACTCTTGGTCTGATTTTTTTCCTTGTTTATTCTTGTCTCAAGACATAGCCCATGGGCAGCCATGCCAGTGTCTAACCAGGGCTCCTCAAACTATGGTCCGCCGGCCACATGCAGCCCGCCTAGGACAATTATCCGGCACACCAGGTGTTTTTGCCTCGTTTGTTTTTTTACTTCAAAATGTGCAGTGTGCATAGGAATTTGGTCATAGTTTTTTTTTTGAACTATAGTCCGGTCCTCCAACGGGTCTGAGGGACAGTGAACTGGCCCCCTGTTTAAAAAGTTTGAGGACCCTTGGACTCTAATCAAACTGGGCCCCGGAGATGCTGTTAGGAAGCACTGTGGTGGGCATAAGAATGTCCACTTTTCCAGGAGAGACTCAAGCCTTCCACTCACCTGGGGCTCAGGTTTTCTAGGCCCTACTCCTTTCAGAGGTGTAGATCTAATAGTTCGATAAAGTAAAACAAAACCAGAAAGTACTCGCTGCCCTCGAGTGGATTCCAACTCATAGTGGGTGACCAGGACTAACTTTAGGAGAGTAGACAGACCCAGTCGTTCCACAGGAGACTGGAAAGAGAGACTGGCCGTGGCTAGGTGGCAGTGTTACATAATGCATCAACCCAAATGTTCGCCACAAAAGATGCCGTCTCTCTAGCCCTTCTGCTCTCTTGACTTCGTCCCCTGGGAATTGTCTCTGCCATTGGCACTTACCTGCAGTGCACACTGGACTCCAGGTCACCTCCGAAAGACTGATGGCATTAAGGCTCCAAGGAGAAACACTCCTTGGAACCCTTACTTCCTCCCAAATTGTTCTTTCACCTGTACAGTTTCTTTTTTCTTTTATTCCTCCTTTCAGTGTTTCTGATTATAAAAGCAATTTATACAATGCAAAATTCATGAAAAATAAAACAAAAACTATCCATGTCTAGTCCCAGCAGCGCCCTTATAGTGCACTGGCACAGCTGCTGACTGCCAGCTCGGCAGTTTGCAACCTCTGCATGCTCCCCGGGAGGAAGCGGAGGCTTCCTCCTCCCGTAAAGATGTACGGGCTTGGCAACCCTCAGAGGCAGGACTGTGCTATCTCACAGGTTCTCAGCGATTTGGAATTGACTATGTGGCAGTTGAGCTTTGAGATAATCCCACCACCCCACCAAAAATTAGTATTAATATTTTGGTTCATGTAAACGTGTTTAATAAGATTGATTTGATGCTATAAAAGGAGTTTGGTTGCTTGTTTTCAGGTTAAAAATTTCCTTATATTATTAAATAGTTATCACAATTCTGGTTTTCATTTTTTTATTTTTAGAAATAATTAAAAAATAATTTTATTATTATTATTATTAGAAATAATTTTATTGGGGCTTGTACAACTCTTATCACAATCCATACATATACAATTATGGTTTTTAAAAGTGTTGCATATTCTTCTAGTTTGAGGACAAACTGTTTAATCAACCTCCACGGATAGTTGAGTCATTTCTTTATCTTTTTCTTTGATCAAAGTGAAAAATTCAGAGGAAAAATCTCGTTCATGAAGCTATGCTGCATTTTCAGTCAAATATCAAGAGTAGCCGATCTCTCAGGAGCCGAGGGGGCACCGGAGGCAGACTGCTGACTGAGCGCTTGTCCGTTTGAACCCTGCAGTGACCACTCAGGAGGAAGACTGGGGATGTGCCCCTGGCAAAATTACAGTGGAGAAGGCCCTGTCGGCCATCCTCCCCGGCAGTTCTGCTCGGTCACAGGGGTCCCCAGAGCACCTGGGACAGCAACTACCTTGGTCAGAGGTTTTCCTGCATATCACCCAGCAGGCCGTCAGATCCCTTCGCCCGCCTCGGTCCTTATGAGAATACTTTATCAATTTTACTTTCCTAGTATCTGTCACAGGATCCTGGGTGGTGTAGTAGTACCATGTGGGTCTATTGACTGCGAGGTCAGCAGTTTGAAACCACCAGCCGCTCTCTTGGGAGAAAGATGAGGCTTTCGACCCCTGTGAAGAGTCAGTCTCAGAAACCCTCAGGGCGGTTTGATCCTGCCCTGGAGACTTGTCATGAGTCAGTTTTGTTTTCGTTTTTCAATATCTGCCTTAGATTTGTCTCTTCTAAAATCTGTACACAGAAGCCTCCTGCTCACTCTTTTCCCCTTTATTGCTACTACTTTTTTGTCTTTATTCTTATACCTCAACATGCCTAATTTTGTTTACTTTTTAAAACTTACGGTAATAGGTACACAGGAAAAGTCAAAATCCTATCTATCATTTTATTTTTCCAGAAAGTAATTTATGTATGTGTCAGAAATTAATGCAAACAGGAGCACCACCCTGCCTTGTGTTGTGATTTTTAACTCAACAATAAATCTTACTTTCTTAGCAGTACCTATGAATCTGAGCCATTTTTAAAGTGGCCATCTGGCCTTATAATATTGTCGTATTAATGGACTTAGCCAGTTTCTTGTTCCTAGACAGGGATTATTTTTTTCTAGCTTCCCATATTCCTAAGACCTATCAGTGCTATGGACATCCTTTTTTACATCCTTTATCTTAGTCAACGTCTATAAGTATAACCAAGGGTAATATCCTTGCAGTGAAATTATTAGGTTAAATAGTGTGCATAGGTTGAATGTTGGATATGTTGCAAGTAACATCAACATGGACGCGCGGCAGCCTAATGCATAACAAAACTAAGCGTTGACTGCTCCCACCCAATGTTCATGATCTTTGACATGTGTGAGCTCATTGTTGTAGCTATGTGTCAGCCTGTCCCACAGAAGAGTTTCACTGGCCCTCTGCCTTACAAAGCCTGTTGACCTTGACTAGCAATTTGTGTTCTCTGATGGTGTGTTCCAAATAAGCAAGATGAAGTCTCACTATTCTCGCTTATCAGGATTAAAAAACAAAATAACTCACTGCCGTTGAGTCTAGCAGTTTGAACCACAGCTGTCCTAAGGGAGACCGACTGGACTTTCTGCTGCCACAAGGCGTGCCAGTCGGGGAAGCCCAGGGTGGCAGTTCTGCTCTGTGCTATCAGGTCCCTATGAGACTTGTAAGAATTCATCTGGTTGTATTTCTTTTTCAGACCGATTT